TTGTGTGTGCTTGACCGGCACTAGAAGGTTATGATTTTGGGATGACTGTACATATATGGTGCTATATTTTGTACATAAAAACGTAGTTATTATATTTATATTTATATACATGTATGTATGAGTCATTTAATTTTTATATTCTCTTGGTTCACTAGTAGTAGTGCGATTCTTCTAAGTGTATAGACCATGGTGGGTCGTTACACTTCACACTCTTAAGGACATGATCCCAACTCTCATAAACTATGGAAGCCTTGCTCCTCCCAATCAAGGCTACAAAATTGTGAAATCGCTACTTATGCGATCCATAAGCAAGCTTGGTCTCTTGATCAATGTCTATAAGCTTCAGTTTTCCTTTATTTCGACTAATAGTCAGGTCTCTCAATGTAATAGGTTTCCTAACCCTCTTCTTAGCAGGTTGACTCTGCTTTGGAGGAGGACAAGAAGGAGGAGTACCGCTTATGCTAGCCATACATCTGAAAAAATAAATAGCAATCATGTTAATAATAGAAACAACAAATAATACACACATAAAATGGATTAATATAATACATATGAATATTTTAATTAAACACATTTTAAAATAAACCCAAGTCATGTTATATGTATATTTAACTATGTACATTATGGGTATGCATATATAACATTTCTAAATTTTGTTAAATTACTCAAACATACTCTAAAAGATATAAAAGTCCATTATAGCTACTAAAAAGACTTTCAAATGAGTCCCCAAAATAGCCCATTACTTTGAAACCAAAATAGTCATATTAATCACAAAAATAACAATTATAAGCACAAAAAAACCTCACATGCAACTATCCTACAATAGTCTCAAACCAACACATTCTATAAAACAATAAATTTGCACATTGCATATATACCAACAAATTATGCACCCAAACTATGTCAACAACATCTCAACAACACTTGTCTACACAATAAATGTGATACTCTCAATACCAACAAAAAAAATCATAAACACAAAAAACTCAAAAACCAGAGTAACGTATAGTTCTCAATCAAACAATATCAACATTACTCCAACAACATCTTAACAAGGTTTTCAATCAAACAACACCAATGCACAAAAATAAAGGAGAAAGAACCAACCTGGGAGTGCAAGCTAAGTTGAAGAACTCTTCCATGAAAGTGGTCAGACAAGAGGGGAACTCAACGAGAACTTGGGAACCCAAAATGAGCAACATTATAACCACCAACCCAAAGAAACGAAATGTACCACAAATGGCCTAAACAACGTCGCTACAACTAGGAGACGAATAGACCTCGCACATTGTCAATGTCATTGTGACACAAGAAGTATGGGAGCATCGTCGGAGAGTGCCTCAGTGGCCAAAGAATGAATATGAAGAGTAGGAACAAGTTGTAGGAAATTGCCTTAGCAGGAACAATCATTGGAGTAAAGGAAGAAGATGAATAGTGAGACTGCAAATGGGTTTATGCTCTTGTTATGACTTAATAGAAGAACTTTCTATGTCAGGTGAGCATTTACCCGTCATAGAATCTTTTTTTTTATGACAGGTAAGTTAACTTCCATGATAAAATATGCATGAGGTCAAAGGCTGACCAACACATTTTATAACTAGTGTTAACTTATTTGTCATCAAAAGAAATATTTTATGATAGGTAAATATTCATCTGACATAGAATATTTTCGCATATTAACAAAAATGTCATGGCACCACTTTTTATATCGTGATTATGACACCCGACATAGAAAGGACATCAAGAAAGACCATTTTTACACTAGCAAGGTAATCAATCAATTATCTACTTCAAAATTTATTTTTCCCAATTTTAAAAAAATCTTTTTCAAATCATTCATCATTCATAAAAACTTCATTAATTTTAGCTTCCTTTTATTTTAAGCTTAGTCAATTTAGACCCATGAAAAGCATGTTTCTACTTCTTCAAAATTATAATCTTGATCAATTTTATATTATAATCCTGTTGATGAAGTTTATAAGGATCTAATCCTTCACACAAATTATATAGAAATACCCGAGCTTAGAACATACAATACATTATCAAAGACAAAACATAATTCATTAACTTGCAAAAGCCTCTTTGATCATCCATCATTTCAAACTTTCTTCCTTTTCATTTTCTAACTAGTTTATTGCTCAAGGTTTGAAATAACCTTTGTCTCCGTTGAATTTTCGTCTACTTATAACCCAACCCAAACTTATGTGCATGCTCGCTCAAAAATATATTCTGGTATATATACATGTGTATGCCCGAATCATTCATCGATTATATTCACAATCTAAGATTATTAGCTTATTTAAATACTCAGACCATTATCATGATTTAATTTATAATAATAGCACATTTAGTATCAGCCAATGTCACCTTCACAAGGCAACTAACTCCGTCATAACAGGTCTCAAATATTTAAAGTACCTCTTAAATAAGGTAAAATAATAATAATAAATCCTTAAAGAACTTTCCATACGACAATTTCTCTTAATGATTTTTTTACTCATTTCTCTTAATGTTATGTTTTCCATTTTTGTTCGGTCAAAAAAAAAATGTTTTACATTTTTGTTGGATATAGTGTGATTTTATAATTTAATGAAAGTCATTAAAATTTCACTTTCAATCTTAAGCATCTTTAATTAAAAATACTTAAATTTTCAGATCCTCTAAAAAATATAATTTAAATATTTGGAAGTAAAATAAGAAAATCTCTGAATTACACTAAATTTTATAAAAATACTAAACTTAGAGAAATATATACGAAATAAATTCAAATGAATGTATTAGCTTAAAACTTTTTCAGTAGGATGCTATAACTGTATTAATCTTAGTTTTCCATGGTTTTATCAATATATATATATATATATATATATATATATATATATATATAT